AGTTAGATTGTAATAAAATGCTCTTACAGTGATGATAACACTTTTTTAAAGAATATTATGTAATGAGCAGCTCTGAAAATCAGTAGATTAGAGATAATGCTAGATAATACACTTAAATATGCATGTAATGTTACCACAAGTGAGGTAGGTAATAATATGATTAAGATGCAGTTGTGTCTTTGACACTGATATACTTAATTATTGTGGTTTCTTCACACTGAACAGTATCAGTATGCTATGAATGCTTACTAGATAATGGATATGGTGGCTTAAGCCACTGCAAACTATTTGCTTACTTAGATATATAGCTATGATAAATATTGGCTGATAGCTAGGTTAGGCTAGAATATGTAAGAATTATTCCAATGCAAAATCAAGAAGTTTCTTATGTATTTGGCATTGAAATATTCGGTAAACGAATGATCATAAATATCTAGGTATAAAGGACCAATAATATCTAGGTTTGAAGGACCATTAATGTGGGAAAAACCTGCTGGGATTGATATAAGAGGAGACTACCAGGGACTTATACTGAACTAAATTAAAAAATTACTGTCTGCAAATTAATTCAACTAAAATCTCTAGCTAGGGTTGTAAATCCTAGCCCCTCTTTTCCTAATGACAGATTGTGGGCTGTAAGGGACAGGTGGGGTGAATGACTTTGTTGATAGAAGTTCCAGTCCACCTGCAGACAGGGATCTCACATCAGCTTGTATTTTATACAAGGATAAGATTTAATAAATTCAGTTATCTGACTGAACACTGGCTCTGTTTAAATCAGGGATTTAAACATACAGAGTCTAACCTAGCACTATAACTATTAACAGCCAATATGTACTTATACTATAAACAACAAATTAAATTGTAAAAGTATAATAAATGACCTTATATGTAGTCTAAATACTGTTAACTAAGTACTAGAAATTATATTCAATTAAATGAACTTATATGATAACTTAAAAATAACTAAGCAAGCAATTGATAACTTAATTTATATATTCAAGTATATATGCAATGTATTTATTCACTTTATACAGTTAGCTTGACTGAATCTTTTCCAACACTATGGACACTTGTGAGGTTTTTACTTATTGAGGCTGAATTCTTTTCTGACAGAATGGACACTCACGAGTCTAGTGCTGAATATATTCACAGCTACACTACAATTTTAATAAACTTACTGAAATGTGAGGCTTCGCCTCGCTTTTTAACCAACAGACAGATTTATAGGATATTAAAGTTACACAAGCATACAATTGGCCAATCATATACCAAATAACCCTCAATATACTTCTCTGCCAGTCGGGGTGCCTTGTCTGACAAGTTTGCCAGACTGATTAACTCTCTTGTCGAGTTTAGGCACTATATTTTGCTACATCGTTGCTGTATGATGATCTGGTAGCGTTGCTACGTGATTATCCTGCAGTTGCAGAAGAATGATTGGTTGATAAAAGATTATGAATGAAGGTGGAGGAAACCGTGTCACCGTGATCTCCACTATACACTCTTAGTTTATATAAATGTTCTAGGATTTTCCTTGTAGATATTGTCCAGGTACTCCCCCAGTTCTAGGCTTTGTTGGTGGGCCCTTCACTCCCCCCCATCGCCCTGCCATGCTCTCTGAGCACGGTAGCCTTCTATGAATATTGATTGATTATTTTTACAGTCTAGACTTATGATTAAGATAAGATGTGATTATAATATAATTAGATATAAGATTTAAAGATTATAAGTAGTATTTGAAAGTACCACTGAATCTTATTAAGGATTCGATATTATCTACCGGATGTTGAATAAATGTTCCAATAGTTTTTTAATTAACAAATCCTTCTAGAAGCTTCTGGATCCTTGAGAGATCATGTACAAGGTCACGTAGGCATCAAAAGGGCCCTGTTGCGTACGTGTTCATGGTGCCATTGTCATCCAGGATCAAGCTATATAATGAATCTTTAATGATTCTAATATGATTTTGATACGATTTAGATATGATTTTGATATGATATAGAAATGATATAGTAATTATACATTTCTTAGATGATTATTAGATATGGTGGGTAAAAATTTCCCACAGGATACTCCCTCTCGTTGTCTAGTGACTGCCTCAGACTACTAAGATACTCCCTCTCGTTGTCTAGTAACTGCCTCTAGTTGTTTAATAAGGTCCTTATTTTCCAGTCTAATATTATTTCCTGGGGACTTTATTTTCAAGTGACTTTATTTTCTAGTGACTACCTTTCATTGTCTAGTGATTTTTTCACTGCCTAGTGAATGTCTCATGTGGTCAAATAAATGCCTCTCTTTGTCGATCTCTTTCTGCCTGGTGACTGATTTGCTTTGTCTTGTATCTGCCCCTCATTGTCAAATGACTTCCTCTCACTGTCTAGTTATGGTCAATCATTGTCTTGTGACTTCCTAACGTTACTAGATATGTCTGAAGGCGAAATAGTCACATTATTTACCATGATGAATCATCAAGTGGCAATCTTTGAATATTGAACATTGCCTTTATTTGGGATCCCGTCGTAATTACAAATTATTGACTTTTTGGTGAAATATATGTTGACCAAATCACACACTAGAAATTGAAGAGACGACAACGTTTCAGTCCATCCTGGAGCATTATCAAGTTGATTATCAAGTTAACATTTTCAGTCATGAGATTGTGACTATTATTCTGAATGTGAAATAGATGTTATTTCTAAATAATTTTTGGTACTGATCTTTTAATATTGAATTTTGTACTGGATATTTGATGAGTGTTGGAAATTCTAAGTAAAAGACTCTTTATATAACATAATAAATCTGAATCGAAGATCTCTACCTTCCTCCTTCGCAGCCTCTAAGGAAAGGAAACTGTTAAGCTTATAAATTATTCTTGATATTGCCCTTGGTAAAATATAAAAAATAGTTAAGTATTATACACTAAGCTGTAATGCGGAGTCGCCATCTGTAGGAAAACTTCCCACGTTTTTTTTTTTTTTTTTTTTTTTTTTTTTTTTTTGAGATATATACAAGAGTTGTTACATTCTTGTACAGCCACTAGTACGCGTAGCGTTTCGGGCAAGTCCTTAATCCTATGGTCCCTGGAATACGATCCCCTGCCGCGAAGAATCGTTTTTTCATCCAAGTACACATTTTACTGTTGCGTTAAACAGAGGCTACAGTTAAGGAATTGCGCCCAGTAAATCCTCCCCGGCCAGGATACGAACCCATGACATAGCGCTCGCGGAACGCCAGGCGAGTGTCTTACCACTACACCATGGAGACTGCTACGGACGTCACCCATAAACTCCTTAATTCAACATACAGTAATAAATTGCTGCTGTTGTAATAATTAAACATAAAATAAATTATCTTCGTCATAAAATAAACGGCATACATGACAAATATGCTCTACAAAAAGTTATTATTATTGCCACGTCCAATATGTACATCACACCCAAAACATTATAAATTAATTAAACTCTGAAAGCAACAGTCGGAGGACTGTTTATTGTGACAAAAAAGTAATTCTCTAAATTAAACTAAATTATGAGTAATTAAATAAACTCAATAAAGCCATTTCTTCCGCAAATCAAGGCCACGTATCTGGGGACGAAATCCAAGCCAGCTGAGAGGGAGGGCTGACGAACAGGGAAGGGTTTCTGTGTGCAGGGGATGAGTCGCAATAACGTGGCTGAAGTATGTTGACTAGACCACACACTAAAAGGTGAGGGGACGACGACGTTTCGATCCGTCCTCGACCATTCTCAAGTCGATTGTGAGAATCGGCTTGAATCAACTTGAGAATGGTCCAGGACGGACCGAAACGTCGTCGTTCCCCACCTTCTAGTGTGTGGTCTGGTCAACAAGGGTTTCTGTCTTGGAACTGAAAGAGGAGGACGTGCTTGGTTGAGATCTTACGAATGTTTAACTTTTACGTTATTTCGTGAGAGTCTAACAATCATATTAATGCACGCCATCTCCCAAGATCTATCCAGTGATGTTATATTTCATCATTGGTCTATCCGGTGATGTTATATTTCCATTACATGAGTTCAAGGTACAGGTAAATTCATCACTGGTTATGACACATGTAAACCCCAAAATACTGGTGATAATTTTTAATATCTTTAATCCAAATGTGAGTACTTATCATTCCATTGATAATATGAATACATTTATGTATTAGATTTTAAGGTGTAATTTGTTGGAAGTTAAACTGATACGCCTGGAAGTTGTAATTTGGGATTGTCGCCTCGAGAGGCCATAAACTCAGTAACCGAATAGAGTCCGGATTGGCTACTGAGAACTTCTACTACTATAACCGCTAAGCTGTGTTGTATTTTAAATAATAACTATAATAGTTAATAGATTTATTTAACATGATTTCACCTTAATTAATGTAATCAATCTGAGCAACTTATTGGTTCATTTTTGTGTAGTTAAAATCATAAACCCACTGATTTGTGATGGACGTTTATCAGAGGAATAAATATAATCTACACAGTCCATTCATTAAAAAATAATTTAATAGTAAATAAAATACAATCGATTTAATAAACGAATAAATAATAAAAAACCCACTGGTAAATTTCCCACAACGTCTATAGAAATGGAATATCTTACTGCAATGAGCTCTCCTGGTAAAAGAATGAAGAATAATGGTAATATAATTATTCAAATTAATTTTAAGAAAAAACCAATTATATATGGATGATGCAATGGTAAAGATTACTGTTTGTGATCTTATATAATGTTTTGCTTTAGGATAGACAGGATTCAGATATAATTTTTTTAACTTTTTAATTTTTGTATTCATTTACGTACAACATCGGCAAGCGATCTAATCAGGGATTACAGTTATTAAATTGTTTGTCTTCTTTAAAATGAAAAGCTTAATGTTTCCTTTTGGTGTTGCATCAGTTTTGCTTTTAAAACAACATTGTTCTTTTTGTATAAATCAAAATGGCTCAATATAATGGTGATAATATAGACTAAGAGGTTGCACTGTTTCACAGGCTCTCCAACAAACCACAGCTTGTGGTTGTCAGTGAAAGTTATCCAACACACGAAGCAGTGATGGTGGACGACCCCAAGGTGCCAGGAAGAAAAGTACTTTGGTTCTTCAGTCCCTTTGCCAACGTTCTCCAACTTCTGGCTGACACTACAAATTTTACGTGAGTATGACCGTTTTCCTGCAAGGGGGCGACAATATATCATTATACAAAAGAACTTTTTTAAGAATTTAAAGACTATATTGAGGAAATATTCAAATTAATTGTCTTTGAAGAAGTTTATTTTGCCTATGAAAAAGATACTTTGGGAGAGTTCAGCTTTCATGTTAAAAGGGAACTCTAAAATGTTGAATTTAGAAATAGACTGATGGCAAGTCAGAAATATTATTGCAAAAAGTGACATACTTGAGTTAGTTCCATCTACCACTCCAAATACCCCAAATGAGGTAAGAGTCACAATGGAAATTAATGTTAATTAATATCATCAATTATCCAGACTGTAAAGTATTAATGATGTTAAGAAGAGCTCAGGTACACAACTGACTCTATTATCAAGACAGAAGATATGTTTCTTTATAGAATTAAAAGAGTAGATCCAAATATCCCTGTAAGCCTTGTAGACCTTGTAGATCTTACTAGACTGTAGTCTTCTCCTACAGTGCCTGAGTTTAAATATATGAAGATTCTGGGAATAATTAACCTCACTTTGTATCATGAGACGTAACACAGCCCTGAGAATGGTATTGCGACATTCTACGCCGACGTAGAATGCATTGATGCTGTGAAAGTCAGTGCAAAATATATGGATACTAATGGGAAATATGTTGCAAATTCCTCTTTTCAATTAAATATTTTAATATGTTGCTATAGTAGTAATATATGGATTACAGAAAAATTATGCACTATGTTACGGACCCGAGTCCAGCGTCGTTGCACGGAGCAGTGACGACAACGCCATCTGTGAGTCAGCTCCCGAAACCCCCTCCAAATGGACGACGCCATCTAGTGAGGACGGAATATACCGGCCACAGGGGCTGGATTCCCGTCTTAATCGGCTCATAACATAGCCGCTGCTGACCTCTGGTGAGGTGGCGCTTAGACAGCAACGCCATCTATGGAGTGGATAGGTGGACGTTTGTGTCTAAGCCTGTAAGTGAGGTACCCTAGAGCGTCCCTAGTACTAATGACGTGTCTGATTACAGAGTCGACCTGAGACTGCTGTATTGGACGATGGGGCAGTCTACCCAAGGCAGCCAAAGTCTCTCCTCATGTTTGCTGCAGAAGCTGTGAGTCACCCCTGGACAAACACTGTTGAGTGTGTTAGCCTGCCTGTGACGTGGCAGTACCAGGAATCGTCGTATCTGGGGGCTGGCTGGTGGAAGAGACTAGCCACTGTGGTGCGGAGAGAGGAGAGTGATCTGCGGAATCACACGAGGCTCCTGCCTAGAGCTCGCAACCCTAGTATCAGTCGTGGAGTGGCCTACACAGCGGAGCTGATCGGAACCTGCCAGCTACAGGCTGGATTTGTGGTTGAATGCCTCCACGACGGTGCACCCAGTGGGACTGTGATTTGGCTGGCCTGTGGCCAGGGTAGATTCGCCGAGCAAATCAGAGGATTCATCGTGGGCCACAAAGAAGAGAACCAGGGCTACTCATCGTGAGCACCGTGGAGCATCCTGTGTCTTCAGAGGAAGACTAATTTGTATATAATAAGTGTAGTTATAGCAGCCCCGTGTGTGACTGTGATATATTTATGGTGGTGGTAGCAATATATATACAAAAGCAGTGCATTTGTATCCCTTCCCCTTTAATTTAACTTGCGTTACGGAACGCACCCCTTGAAAGACACCACTAGCTTGGGGCCAGATACCCAAACTCTAATAACATCAGAGAAGAACCCGGTTGCGACCCAATAGGGCCGTAACACACTAAAATATTAAAATTATTTTCTTGGCTTGAAAGCAAAAATAAATTATTGTATGGTTGACTAATGATGCTTCATCAGGCATCATAGAATCTACTCCTTACACCACCAAGAATTTATCTGTCGCGCTTCACAATCGTTATATCGCTTATATCATCCCCAATTTTCACACATTCATTCAAGTATACACCATGGTAATCACAAATAACTAAAATATCACTAATAACATCCAATAAACAATAAAACCCTGTTTTTGAGAAACAGAGATAGGTGAGGCCAACCTACCCAGGAATGCTGTATCATTATTGGGATGTTAGGTGAGTACTGATGGCTTCCCAAGTTTTGCAAAAGATAACTCTATCCCAATAACACAAACACGCAAACACACGTTAGTTGATGTAATATATAGTTGTACCGTGTTAAAAGCTTTCACAGTTACCACATGTCAAAAAGTTGCCATGTCTCAAAGCTTCCACAGGAATGATGCCATAGAAACCAAAAAACGCTCACAATAATATCTACTAATGTTTCGTTTATTAATACGTTTATGAATGTTTTACAATGAATGTGATATGCCTGAACTTCTATATATGATAAAAAAAAAATTTTGCATTACATATTATATCCTGCAGTAACTTATAATTATTTACGTCTTGAGAAAATTGGGAGGTTGTGAGTGAACCCATGTCCTGGAGCTGTCATTTTGATCACTGTTGTTATTTCTGTCGCTACGAGAACAGGAGACAAGGCTGTGCTTGTTGTTACTATTACAACATCATGAAATCTTAGATTTGACTTACTCTATGGATCCAGTATGGAAAGCTTTTACGTACAGTTTTACTGACGTGGATTAATGCATGTTGAGTAGGTGTGTCCAGGTGCAAATATGAGAACTTAACAATGGATGACTTATGGCTCCCACTTAATTACATGTAACTTATAAGACTTGATTAAGATATTAGTGTTGATAGGGAGACATATAAGAGTAACATGGATAGTAATACTAACGAAAATTTTAAAATAATACATAATACTTAATGATACATATTACATAAGAATTCATAATAGTAAATCAGTATAGTGGTAACATTATTCAGTGTTAATTTCAACAGTAATGAGAACACTTCAATCTAAATAAATAAAAATGTAAATGTTCGTTATTTCAAAATCGCTAATCTCCGAAAGTTCTTCACCAATTGCTTTGAAATTTTCAAACAATATTCCATTCGCATCCAAGCAGGTTTTTATATACATACTATGTGATGGTCTGTGATGGAAAAACATGTTTATTTTTTAAACGGTGTTTTTCATGTGAGGGAACTCTTTGAAACCTCTTTACCGATTGCTTTGAAATTCGAATAGGCGGGTGTTTTTATATACCTACTATATACATGCCTCACCTGAGACAGGTAAAAACATAAATTTTTTGAAAAACAGCACCATCTGTTGCTTGTAAGAGCAACACATGCTGTACTAAATATATAACGATTGCATTTCAATGTTTCTGATTGCAATGATAAATGGAAGTTTCATTGATTTCAAATTTTTTCTTTGTTTTAATTATTTTGTGTGACATTGCATTGTAATTGAGCTGTGCTGTATACTATAACATTCATTTCATGAGTATAAGTATAGATGCCACACCAGAGACAGGTAAACCCAGGTTTTTTTTTTAAACAGCGCCATCTGTTGCATGTAAGAGCAACCCACGCTATACTAAATATGTTACGATTCCATTTCAGTGTTTTCGATTGCATTGATAAAATGATTTTTCATAGATATCGATTTATTTTCATTTTGATTTAGTTATTTTGTGTGATATTGCCTTGGAAATGAGCTGTGTTATTTACCATACCATTCATTTCATGAGTATAATTTATTTTTTTATTTTTCATTTTGTTTTTTAACTGTTTTTCTTATTTTTCCGCGTTGGTAACATCAGATCATTTGATGTTCCCAATTTTCTGATGAGAACATCAGATCATTTGGGAATGCATCGAACGAGGGAGTGGGGAATGGTGGGGAGGAAGAAGGGACAGAGGAGGGGGTAATGATGGGGAGTAAGAGGGGACTTGGGAATTGGAGATGGTGGGAACGAAGAGATAGGGGAATGGAGAATGGTGGGGAGGGCAAGGGATAAAGGAGTGGGGGATGGTGGGGAGGAAGAGGAGGCAGTGGAGGGGATATGGTTGGGCGGACAAAGGGACGGGGGAGGGGGGAATGGTGGGGAGGACTGGGGTACAGGGGAAGGTTGCTGTGGCTCAGCCACGCGTTGCTGCTCACCCACAGCAATGCATGGCCGGCTACAGCTAGTTTATAATAAAATTCTTATGATATCAGCACGTCTCTATAAATTTAGAAAATGTAATTTTAATCATGATATTGGCTTTATTTATTTATTTATTTAATAATATATTTATACAAGGTACAATAGGATTGTAATAGTAAATAACATTGATGTTCTTTCACTTTCATTCTTGTCAAGTCACTAAAATGCATCGCATTTCGGGTAGAGACTTTAAACATATATACATTTGTTTTCTCTTAGTATGACCATATTTATTTAGTTACATTACATTAAGAAATTTCGTTGTCAATAAAAAATAAAAAACAATTTATAAAAATTAGTATAAGGAAGAAAATAATGTTGAGGATATATTCAATAGGTACACATATGTGAGACCTCCGGATGGTTTATGGGGCTCACCGAAGACGGACGGGTCCTGGTCTGGCATGGTGGGTATGGTGAGCAGAGAGGTAAGATAATGGTTTATGGGGGATTTATGCATTGTTCACAGGCACACGCTCTAGGCGACTAGCCCACATGTCATACATGTGGGCTAGTACTATTAGCCCACATTACTACTACTACTACTACTACTACGTATTACTACTACTACTACGTATTACTACTACTACCCCAGTACTACTAGTACCGGGGTACTACTACATGTAGTAGTACCCCAGTAACCTGGGGTACTACTACACCTGTGATTCCTGGGGCTTCCACTGAAGCCAAACAAGGGTTTCACACTTTCCCCCCCCCCTCCATGCACTCTGGCTCTGTCATCTAGAAATGTTCTACCTCTGATGCTCCTATTTCAATACATACAGAATGTGTATGAGTCCTGCACCATGCAGAAACAATAGAATCTAGGGTGAAGTACTACCCAGGTTGCAATCCTTTTGACCATTTCATGGCCTATTCTTCTAGAGCGTGTGCATGGAAACACCCAGTACATAGGTTCGAACCTTCATCACGACTCCTTGGGATTATCTCATTGATACATCATGATTGTGTGATTACTCTCTGTCTATTGAAAGAGGAGCATCAGAGGTAGACATGTTTTATATTTGAGTAATATTAAACCTATTGTTTGATAAGTGTTGTTTTTAAACCTCAACTCAACCACCATGAACCTGACATGCCTCGACCTAAAGTTAGATGTAACGTATTCTTAGGAAAGTGTTTGTATTTTGCATCAACCCAACCTTCCTGGACCTAACCTCCGATATCAGGAGTTTGGTAAAATATTGCATCATATTCTTAGCAATGTGTTATTTTGGTCATTGGACCTACTTTATTATAACCAACCCACCCCAACCTAACCTATATAACCTCCGGGTTAATAGAAATGTGTTATTATTGGGCATTTTATATATGTTTCAAATATATGTGCCTGCTGCTAGTTTGGAGATTTTAACGTGGCAGTGTCATGATCTTGCAGGGGGCTTGGAGATGTTAACACCAAACGACTAATGCACTTGTTGGTCCAAACTTTGTGTTATATGCTTCAATTATTAACTGAATATCTGACAGAATGTCACCCTCCAAAATCAAGGCCATCAGTTAACATGTCCTCTCCCGTCAAGTTTCGTCGGCGTCCCTCCAAACTTTCTACATCACCCATCCCTTGATACCAGAGGTTTCCTCATTTCTCATAAGTCTCTATATACTCCCATTTAACCGTACTCTATTTGTTGGTTATATAAACGAGTCTTTATTTTTAATCGATTCTTTTAAATCCCTTTTCTAATCTAAATATTAATGGACTTTACCCTTTATCTCTAAATTATAGATTTACATACTAGATACAAATACTCCAAAATAAACCTCCAACTCTCCGTACTAGTTTCATGGGCGGAGTGATATCAGCGATGCACAACCTCCCAGCTGCCAGCTGATTACTACCTCCAGGAAACAAATGTCTACTTTAATACTTTTATGCAGCTTTCTCTCTTTTAGCCAAATTGTTACATAACCTGTCTCCACCAAAATTTCTTTACTGGAAACAAGGTTCGTGAGAGTGAACATATAGAAATATACATTGGTTATGTACATCCAAGCAAACCATTCTCGTTTTGTATGATGGGTACAGCAAGTTCGTGAGTTCGTGGATACAGCAGAAAGACGGGTCCTGAGCTTGGTTGGAAAATACCAGGAACATTATTGCTTGTGGAAATCATTTAAGTGCTACAGGGGTTAATATCAGGACTAGTTCTAATATTGATACAACTCGCAGAGACAACACAGATTGATATATTATTTTAAGTTCATGGCAAATTAGTTTCAATGATAAGAGATGAATAGATAATTGTATCTAACTGTAATAAGTGTTTTTACATTATAGAATGATACTAACACAAAGGAATTTAATTAATAAACTTTCGTAATTCCATGAGAAGAAAATTTATGGAATTTGTTCGTTGAGGTAGATAGTTATGAAGGGAATTTCATGTTATTGTTCTATGCAATTTATACATAATGGTAAACTATTTTAGAATTGATATAGAGGAGAAATGTGTCCACCTCCTCTAATCTACCAATTATATTATTGCCTTTATTAGGATTCAGTTCATGAACTTAAAAAGAATTTATAGTTTTCGCAATGTATTATCTTCTCTTGTTGCAATGTTGTTTACAATCTTCATTTAGTATACTATTTTAATTGAAATAGTGAATGTGGAATTTATTCAGTTGTATTTTTAATTAATAGTTTTAATTCATAATCAGTCAACCGATTAATATCCGGGTTCAGAGGCTCAGTTTCTACAGCTCTTACATTTGATATATCTCTTATTGTGATGGATTTTACTTAGTATTCGAACCATCAATAATGACGATATATTATTGTCACCTCTCTCACAGTTAAAACAAGGGGTAAACTTACCAACATTTACCTATACTGAACTTTATAAAGCTGCCACGCAAGCCTCAGTCCTAAAATGTTAAATCATGCTTCTCAATATATCAAATTGATTTTTTTCGAAAATGTTTATTCACCATTGTTTAAGAAAACATTTGTTGGACATACGGCCAATAAGAATTATATTTGTTTTTAGAATATGTAAGAAGAATGTTATTCAAGAATGGGATCTCTGTTCTATAGTAACTATAGAGCTTATTTAAAATCTTACATTTGTCTACATCGTTACCACAATGAAGAGAATTAATTTAATTACTTCAATTTCTAGTTCCCTTTCCTAATATTATATATAAATTTAATCTCACCCAAAGATAAGCCCGTTCTTCCTTTTCTACTTCAGGTAGCAATAATTTCACATACATCAACCTAGCTTGAAAGTCTTGACCTTGTTAACTCATCACTGAGCTGATCTGCACACGGTTAATGTACATCTCCATTTCTGGATTAACCTTTCCTCTCGACCTCTTTCCTCTCACCGTATTTTGACATAAAAATATCCAATTTCAAAAAAAATATATTGGACCGTAAATCACAGCAGCTCTCTAAATTAGAGAGCTGTTGCCTTTTTTTTTTTTGGGGTAAATGGTTACATTAGGTTCGGTCAATTTAATATAAAGTTTTTGTGTAGTTGTGAAAACATAGGCGGACCGGGTGCAAGATCAGCTGGTTTCTACAGTGTAGGCTTAGTTCTCCCTGTTATTGATAAGTTTATATGATAGTGACCGAGTTTTTCAACTTAATTATCCCCCATGGTGGACCCCTCTTAGATTGGTTATTAGGGGTCTCTTACTGTTTACTAAGGATAAACACATGTATCAAGTGATAAAATAATAAAAACGAAATTGGAAAATATTATTTCGTAAAAAGTTTAAAAGATGTGGAGAACAGGTATTCCGGAACAATGAAAATGTCCAATTTATCAAAATGTTAAGGTAGAGACACATGACCAAGAGAGAATGGGCAAAAAAGGTGATGTCAAATTCAACAACAGAAATTCTATAGCTATCTCTATTTTCAATTTAGTAGCGTAATAAATTTCCATTATTGTGATTCTTATTCATCGTATGACTTTTGTGTATATTTATTTTACAATTTGCAGCACAAGATTAAAATATACAATATTCTAACTAAACTTTGCAGGAGGTGGACATTGGTCTTGGTCCCTTTACCATTGGTATTTTGTCAGCGAAGGAAATGGACTTCACGTGGCCAGTGACAATAGAATCCGAGACACTCCTTGGAGGTCGAGGTCGGCTGGAGGTGAACCCGTGGGGCTTCCTCTTCCCTTTGGAGCCACTGGTGTGGGCGACCATCTTGGTGGCCCTGCTGGTACTGTCTTTGACGGTGTTCCTCATGTCCTCATGCACTTCCATTAAAACTCTGGCCGGATGGATGGACGACATATTCAAATTCCTGTCACTAATATTAAATCAAGGTAGACATTATTATTTAAAATATTGTTTTATGAAGTGAAATTAACAATGGAGTTACATGATTTTCCTGTCACTTTTAGAATATTAGTAAACTATGAGTATTAGAATGCTGAAACGTTCATTGTTATAATATTATAAATCCTATTCTTAAAAAATAATATAAATAATAAAGATATAATTGTTATTGGATAAAAACCTATGCATATGTATTTGTTAAATTTGAGTAAAGATTTACACCAAGATGTCTCTCGCACTCTCTTGAGTGAGAGAGACGTCTTAGTGTATATATTTACATAAATTTCACAAATACATGTGTAGGTTTTTATCCCAGTGGTATTAGGTCTGTGAGAAGACATCACTTATTATTAGTGTTAAGTATTGTTATTGCACAAAGGGGCAATAACCTTTATATTGGTAACTCCTATAAGGTACCTAATACCTTATAACACCATGTTAGGGGGTGTACACTGTCTCTTGTAGCACTAAGGTGACCATGGTAGGAGGTGTACACTGTATCTTATAGCACCAAGGTGACCATGGTTGGGGTGTATACTGTCTCTTATAGCACCAGGGTGACCAAGGTAGGGGTGTACACTGTCTCTTAGAGCACCAAGGTGACCATGGTTGGGGTGTATACTGTCTCTTATAGCACCAAGGTGACCATGGTTGTGGTGTATACTGTCTCTTATAGCACCAGGGTGACCAAGGTAGGGGTGTACACTGTCTCTTAGAGCACCAAGGTGACCATGGTTGTGGTGTATACTGTCTCTTATAGCACCAAGGTGATCATAGTAGGGGGTACACACTGTGTCTTATAGCAACAAGGTGACCATGGTTGTGGTGTATACTGTATCTTATAGCACCAAGGTGACCATGGTTGTGGTGTATACTGTATCTTATAGCACCAAGGTGACCATGGTTGGGGTGTATACTGTCTCTTATAGCACCAGGGTGACCAAGGTAGGGGTGTACACTGTCTCTTAGAGCACCAAGGTGACCATGGTAGAGGTGTACACAATAACGTTTAGAACTAAGGTGACGATGGTTGGGGCGTTCTCTGTTCATAATAGGAACAAGATGACAATGGTAGGAGTGTACATAACACGTTATATTACCATGGTGACCATGGAATGGATGAAAACTGTCCCTATTAGTACCAAGGTGACCATTTTACGGGTGTTCACAGTACCTTATAGCACCAAGGTGACCATGTTAGGGCTATATACACTGTACCCTATAGCACAAAGGTGGCCATGGTAGGGGTTGTGAGAAAACACGACACCATTTACTAACTTTTAATACAATATGCAAATACTTGTTGCTACATTTATACTAACAAATTAAACACAATATCCTATTTATTCATGCAAAGAAAACGAGATTGTTGTGACTTTTTCCTGGGAAAAACGGGATATCATTGCTGTGTCGCAATTAAATTCACCAGCTGATAATATTGAGAATTCTTCTTAAAACATCAGTCTCTGGACTGTAAACATCATAAAAACATTTCCCTTGAACGAACGTAATTTTCAAAACTAAAACAAATTAAATTTAAACCCTCTTTCCACTTCTTGATAAACGCATCTGGAGAAGACGTCCGATGCATAAGTAGGAGGTAGACGCCATTTATTTAACATCAACAAGTCGTGCCTGGTGCACGCTTGAAGCTCTGCAATTATTTTCCTCTAGACACAAGGTTATTGGAGTTACAAACTCCCATCATCAGCACGACTTTCGTCAACAATAAGGGAAGTGTTCTATACCCGACAGTACATTAAATCTAGTCATTCCTGGCCAGTAATGTAGGTAGATTAGGGTATGCCGGGTAGGACAGGAGGTGAGCCACCTGACAGGGTAAGTATCAATTAAACCATTGCAATAATTATTTCCCCTGATATAGCTGTCATCTATATTGGTTACGATTATTACTGTATGCTAACCCGCCCTCCCCTTTGACATGTGTAATTGAGGGGGAAGAAAAATTATAATCAACTATGTGGTACTACACTTGATATGTGATTACACTAGTATCACCTACAAAAAGTATTAGTCTATGTATGTCTATGTATTATAGACCAACATTCATATCTGGTTGACCAGGCCAGGAACAACCGTAGAGATAAGCTGTATTTTGACCAGGTCACACACTAGAAGGTGAAGGGACGACGACGTTTCGGTCCGTCTTGGACCATTCTCAAGTCGATCACTTGAGAATGATCCAGAACGGACCGAAACGTCGTCGTCCCTTCACCTTCTAGTGTGTGACCTGGTCAAATTACTTTAGCCACGTTATTGTGACTCATCGCCTGCATAAGCTGTATTTGTTCCATTTAACTTACTAACCTATGCAGTCTTAACATTTGTAGTAAATGTCTACCAATCAATAATTTCGATTGATAGACTATATAATTAATACCCCCCCTTTCCCCAGCTTGAGTAGGAAAGTATTGTTGGGAAATTAAATCATACAGTCTGCTTTAATATCCTACAGTCCACTATCAA